ACTAGGACGCATAGTCCAGGCACAAGCCACGGCCAGGTGGTCACGAGCAGAGGGCTCCTGTCCTCTTTACGAGAACGTCCTTTCCTCGTGTCTTTGGTCCAAAACATGGACCATACTCCACTTGGGTGTCACAACAGTCCTGGGGTCCAATCCCCAGGCCTCTGGGCACGGAGGACCCTCACAGTGCATTAATAATCAAGGCCTTTTCATCTACCGGTCCGATCTTGTTAGACAATATGGCCTTGACCCCGTTGGTCTGGGAAGATGCTGAATTACTACGGCAGCGGTGACATTCTGGGATGGATGCTGCAGGCAGCAGTGAGAGCGGCAGTAACCAGCAGCACAGGCAGCATGGCCTCTAGCAATTAGCGTTCGTTTCCCAGATGGTTACCGCTTGGGTTAGTCGGTAAACCAGGTGCAGCTAAAGGGCATTGCTCTCCGTTAAGTGCAAGGACAATTGTGCAGTCCTGCCCACTATGCCAACTGTTTTGGTCTTAGCCTGTGGATAGTGCCGCTATCAGCCGGAAATACCTGGGGGCACTCAGCTGGCCCAGTGAGCCCCCCACAGACCTCTCCCCTTTTGGAAACCGTGTTGTGGCTGAACCAGTCCTTGGGGTTCTTACAATCTATAACAGGAAACCGGGGGAAAATCCCAAGATTTATTACTTGTGGGTTCTGGAGGGTACAAGGCATGCCTGGGGCCATACAGTGAAGTTGGGAGAGAGGCATGAGTAAGCAGACCAGGGTTCGGCTTCTACTGGGGTTAAGGGTGGGGGCCTAGGGTTTTGTGAGTTCAGACTTTATTGGTGAATTTAAAACACAGGACAGGAATTAAAGTGTGCAAAGGGAAAAACAAGAAGCCAAATAGTTACCGAGGTTAAACAGATTTCTCTAAAATAAAGGAAACTTTTGTGGGATGGGAACAGGAGCAGCTTGGTTCTTTAATCACTTGTGCTGGCAGTGTGTTCATTTGAAATAGCTATGTTGGGGTTGCCTGGGTGGCACGGTCAGTTGTACGTCTGACTCTTGATTTTTGGCTCAGGTCATGGTCTCATGGTTCATGGGTCGAGCCCCACAGCAGGCTCCAACTCGTGCTGATGGCACAGAACCTGCTTGGGATTCTCTCTCTCTCTGCCCCCACCTCCACCCCCTTCCGTATGTGCCCACGCGTGCATGAGGGCGCTCTCTCTCTCTCTCTCTCTCTCTCTCCCCCTCTCAAATAAAACAAACTTAAAAAAAAATGAAACAGCTATCTTTCAAGTGGATGCCTCAGCAATGAAAAGCTTAAGTCAGGTACTGGTGTTATAACAAAAAACGAACCAATCGTCATGTGCTTATGCTACATTTATCTTGTTACTGGTTTTCATTTAACTTTGTTGTGGTCAGGGAACACATTGTATGCTTTCAATCCTTTTAAATGCTCTAAGAGTTGTATGGCCAGGCATATGCCTATTTTAGTAAAAGTGCTACATGCACTTGAAAAGAATGTATATTCTGTAGCTGTTGGTAAAGTGTTCCATCAAAGTCAATTAGATCAAAGTGGTTAAGTGTTATTCATATTTTCTAGGTCTTTATTGAATTTTTGTTGAGTTCTGTCAGCTGCTGAGAGGTGTTAAAATCTTCAACTGTGCTTGTGATTTGTCTTTTCTTCCTTTAAATGTCAATCTTTGCTTTGCCCATTCTTTTTTTTAAGTTTACTTATTTTGAGAGAGTGAACACATGTGAGCAGGGAAGGGGCAGAGAGAGAGAGAGCAAGGATCCCAAGCAGAACCCCTGCTGTCACGGGGCTTGAACCCACAAACCTCAAGATCATGACCTGAGCTCAAATCAAGAGTCCGAGGCTTAAGTGACTGAGCCACCCAGGTGCCCTGCTTTCTCCATTTTGAAGCGCCATTATTAGGCACATACATGTTTGTCTTCCTAAATCAACCCTTTATCATTATTACCCTTTATCTCTAGCAATACTGTTTTAAAGTCTACTTGATCTGATATTAACAGTTCTACCCCAATCTTATGTTTAGTGGTTATATGTAATATTTTTCCCATCCTCTTTCCATCCTTGTCATTATCATAAAAACATGACTCTTACTGAGCATGTAGCTTGGTCTTATTATCCTTTAGACAATATCTTTTATTAAAATGGTTGAACTTTGGGTCTACCATTTTACTTTTCGTTTTTTGTTTTCCCTTCAGGCTTTCTCTTCTTTCTTCCTTCTTGCCTTCTTTGGGTTAAAAATACTTTTGGCTTTCTGTTTTATCTATTGGCATCTTAGATATACCTCTTCTCATGATTTTTTTTTTTTTTGGTGGTTCTAGATTAAAATATGTAAACTTAACTTTTCATATTATTCGTAGAGTTAGTATTGTACCACTTCATGTACTTTGAGCAGATTCCTTACCTCTCTGAACTTCTTCATTTTAAATAATAATGAACTTGTCTCATGGGTTAACTATTAAATGAGCTAATGCATATAAAGCAAATAGCAGCATGTTGCCAAGAGCAGAATAAGCAAGCAATACTACTCAGCATCATCACCAATAGAAGTACTGTTATTACTACTGGTCTGGTGGCAGCTGTTGTTGCTAGTATTTTTCATTAGCACTTGACCTCCTGAGGCCACAGGGGAGCCATATTGAGCATTCTCAGCAGCTTAACCTGTTTGAGGTCAAATTTTTCCACCTGCTATCGATCACCTATTCCTCCAGATGGCCCGTTTATCAAGGAGTCTGTCGCAGCAGGGTACCCATCAACTGCCCCTTCCTCGCCTAGGCCTGGCTATCCTTTGCCCACTCTTGAGGCTGTTCCTGCACCTAGTACAGCCAAACCAGCTGAGCACAGCTAGTCCTTACCCCACCCCTAGGCTGATCCTTATCACAAACAAAACCCGAGTTGATTTTCAACATTACAGCATCTGTTGTCCTGAGCAAAGTGATCTGAGGCCAGTCCCACAGGCCTCCCACTACCTTCAAACACATACTTCCCAGCGTGAGAGGACCTCCTACATCTTGGTCTCTCCCCCCATTTTTTTTAAATGTTTATTTTTGAAAGAAGAATGAGAGCGGAGGAGGGGCAGAGAAAGAGGAAGACACAGAATCTGAAGCAGGCTCCAGGCTCTGAGCTGTCAGCACAGAGCCTGACACGGGGCTTGAGCCCACGGACTTTGAGATCATGACCTGAGCTAAGTTGGATGCTTAACCGACTGAGCCACCCAGGTGTCTGTCTTTACTATTTGTGTGTGTGTGTGTGTGTGTGAACGGTTTCATTGTGTGAACAATGAATGCCAAATACAGGTTTTCACGGAGAACACAACCTCACACACAGCATACAGCTATGAAAGCTAGAGCTGGAGAACAGCACAGAACTGTTTGTTATGGAGGAAGAGAACCTGCCTGGTGTTATGGTGTTAACTTATGTTAATTACTTAGCTGCATGATGACTTAGTGTATTGTTTTAGTATAAATGAGGGTTAACTTAGGGACTGAGGGATACATGAGCAGTTTTCCATTGGACTTAATGGTAATTATATTCTTGATATAGAATTCTATTCTCCAGGTCCATAAATTAATAAAAATACACACAGATATACATACATGTAAGGTTTTTAGACCTTTATTTTAAAAACATGGTGTACACACAACCTCCCCCCACCCCCCAATCTGATGTGGAGGCATCTGCTCCTACACATTCTTTTCCATGAAACACCAGCCAGCCATGGCATATTTTGCTGCAGTTTATTCAATCATTCTCTTAGTGATGGTTGTTCACATTTTCTTTTGTCCTTATCAAAAAATACAATATACATTGATAAACATATAATCTTAAGTACTGGCACTTTATTTTTTCTTAGGGATAGATCCCCAGGAGTAAGACTCCTGGATTAGAGTATGTATATATTTTTTAAATGTTTATGTAGAGAGTGAGCACAAGCAGGGAAGGGGCTGAGAGACAGGGAGAGAGAATCCCAAGCAGGCTCCATGCTGTCAGGGTGGAGCCCAACGCGGGGCTCGAATTCACAAACCGTGAGATCATGACCTGAGCAGAAACCTAGAGTCGATGCTTAACCAACTGAGCCACCCAGGTGCCCTGAAGGCTACGTATATTCCTAATGTTCAGAGACAGAGTCGCAACTTACATTTCTAACAGCCGTGTGTGAGATGAATCTTCTTCCCTGCTTCCTTGCCAGTAGTAGACAAGATGACAATTTGACAAAGACAAACTTACTGGACTATAGATGTTCTGTGAATCTGTTCAGAAAGTCACTCACATTCATGGGTGGTCACAGCACATCAATGATACTCAAAAACAAGGAAAAAGAAAGGCCAGTTCCCAGTGACAGTTCTAGTGTGTGATTCATGACTGACAGGGAGAGGAACTTGGGAATTTGAAGTCAATAGTAAGATACTTTACCTCTGAGTTAGGCAACAAGTTTTTTTAGGTTGTTAAACACATAAGGAGAGATCACTGAAAAGTCTAACTTATAAAGTGTGTGTGAACCTTTAAAAGAAAGGCTTAACTTTTACTCAGGTTCCAAAGGGAAATGCTCTTGGCTGATGACAGTGAAACCCAGGGAGTGAAAATGCCTCCTTTACACAGGATGTGGCAAAAATGCATTTTTATTTTTAAATTTTTTTTTTCAACGTTTATTTATTTTTGGGACAGAGAGAGACAGAGCATGAACGGGCGAGGGGCAGAGAGAGAGGGAGACACAGAATCGGAAACAGTCTCCAGGCTCTGAGCCATCAGCCCAGAGCCCGACGCGGGGCTCGAACTCAGGGACCGAGAGATGGTGACCTGGTTGAAGTCGGACGCTAAACCGACTGCGCCACCCAGGCGCCCCAAAAATGCATTTTTAAAGTGGGTTGTGCATGTGGACATTTGAAAAAGCACTAAGACATTTATTAATTTTTTTCTCTGAAGTCTCTGAAATGTAACATTTGTGAACCACATACACATCCTACTTTTTGTAAGACAATCCATAAAATATTAAGAGAAACAGGAGAACACAAATAAAAGCACAAGTAGTTTATGGGTTACACAGTATGTTAAAAGACAGGCATCTATATGTAAACACCCCACTGCAAAGGAACTGCGCACGAGGGACGTGGGCACTCTCTCCAGCTGTGGTGCCTACACTGAGTGACAGCCCACAGTGGTCTTTCACTCCCTAAATCCCCTCTGAATTATCTGACTTATATATCGATGTGAATAATGCTTTTAGCAACCTCCGAAGCAAGTTAAACCTTCAACACTGTCTTCTGTTTATTGAAGAGGCAGCTGAATAACGATGGTCCGACCAACTTCCCTATGCCATCAAGTAGCAGGAGAAAACATACGCTACACGCTACTAAAACTGTGACCTAGTTCATGTGGAATGCGTACTGGGTTGTAAAGGTACTGAAAGACACGTGGTGTTGAGTATGGAAAATCTTACTCATGTCCTAACTATCAGAGGACAAGAATTTCCAACTCCCAGTGACTGTGTTAAATTTACATGTATAGATGTAAGACAAGATTTGTGTTTTGGGGCATAATCTCATACACAGCCACTCAACTCCCGGGGTATGGGCTGCAGATCCTTTATGCTGCTGCCCAGAATAATTCAAGATTTTAAAAAGCTCACTGTAACAGGACTAAGCATGTCTATTTACAACTGGATGTACGCTTTAGCTGGGCAGAGTATCTAACTTTGGGTATAAGGCTGTTCTTAGGGGATCCTGTTTTTACATGTGTTTTGATTTGATGGATTGTATCCCCCCACCGCCCCGCGTGTCCCCGTTCCTTCAGTACCTTTGTGCGGTCTGCCCCCCACTGGAAGGGTTCGGATTTTTCCACAGAACAAGCTAGCTGCAGTCTCAGGGCTTTTCCCCCATGTGAACCCTCTGATGGACACTGAGTCGGGACTTCCTGCTGAAGGCCTTCCCACATTCAGAACACTCGTATGGTTTCTCTCCTGTATGGATTCGCAAATGTAATCTCAGGGTTGACCTCTGGCTGAATGTCTTGCCACATTCGGTACATTCATAGGGTTTCTCTCCCGTGTGAGTTCTCATGTGTATGATCAGTTGTGAGTTCTGGATAAAGGATTTTCCACATTCGCTGCACTCATAGCGTTTCTCCCCCGTGTGAATTTTCTGATGTATAATGAGGTTGGACTTTTTGAAGAAGGTTTTTGCGCACTCGTTACACTCATAGGGTCGTTCTCCTGTATGAATTCTCTGGTGGGTAGTAAGTTCAAACTTCTGGGCAAATGTCTTGCCACAGTCACTGCACTCATAGGGCTTCTTCTCCATATGTGCTCTCTGGTGAACGATGAGGTTTGACTGGTGGGTGAAAGCTTTTCCGCATTCAATACATTCAAAGGGTTTCTCCCCTGTATGAATTCTTTGATGTTTAATGAGGTTTGCCTTATGGGAGAAGGTTTTCTTACACACGTTACATTCATAAGGTTTTTCTCCAGTGTGTATTCTCTTGTGACTAATGAGGAGTGACTTAAAGGAGAAAGCCTTGTCACAGTAATTACAAATAAAAGGTTGTACCAAATTTCGTATTTTCTGATGTTTAAAAATGGCTTCTTTAAAGACTTTCCCACTTTTATTATAGTCAGAGTATTCCAACCCATGATGGGTTTTCTCTTGCTTCAGATAGAGGAGTGCTTTTCCAAATCCGTTACACTCATCAGCTCTCTTTCTTATATAGCTTCTATTACCATTAAGTAAGTCTGAATTAGACTTCAAGGTTTTTTCGTATAAGTCGTATTTATAGGGTACTTGCCTTAAGGAAACAAAATCTGTGCTCAGATTAAACGTTTTTTCAAAGAGATTACCTCTTTCCTCAATTGGGGTTTGGTTCTTAAAAATGATAAATGGTCTCGCCTGCTCATCTGGGTTGCTGGGGTCCCGCTCCATCTGGTCGTCAGCTTTCCACACCTCTAGGAAAGAGCACACGAGACACGCTGTCAGCCCCTTCCTGCCATGTTAGAGAATGTGAAGTCTCCACCAGTGTTCCATCGTAGGGCTGTCTCTGTGTATGGGATCCGGGCTTCCAGGATTAAAAAGTCTCCATTGCAAATTCTGCCTAGTTCTTAAGCTTGGAAAGACCAAAAAAGCCTGTGGCAAAAAAAGAATGGAAGCTGACAATGGACTCGAGTAGCACTGCCAGATTACAGAACGACCTTAAAAGGTAAAGTGAAATAAAAACAAAGGGCAGCAGACAGGGCACAAATGACGTAGGCAAGCTGACAAGTCGAGGGATGCAGGAGGTTCAGCGTGTCGCCAGGGACACGGAACAGTCAGCACAGACCAAGAGAACAAGTGGACGAAGATGCGAAGGGAACGGCAAGCAGCCTGGGCAGATCTGAGTTTAGCAACTGCCACTTAGGCTCTGAATTGCTGTGGTCAGACGGGCACTTCCTCTCCACACTCCTCGTCTCTCTCCCCGTTTTTTCTCCTCTGCTCTTGCAAGCCACACACCTTGTTAACAGCAATGCTGCTCACAGGTCTGCAGACATAATCCTCCTGCCAAGATCCAAATCTCTCATGTACAACTTTTGCAAATGGATGACAAGATCCAGAACCCATAGTCTGAAGGAAATGGAAAATAAATCCAAGGGTTCAAGATCCTTGCGACAGAATCATGTGTTTTACTTTTTTCCATTGAAACACATTTTTTTCCTTCTAATGTGTTCGATTTCTTCTCTAAACAGGTCTTGGTGCTGCTGTTACCGGAAGGAATCTTAAGGATCAGACTGACCCAGCCTTAACATTCCTGACTCTGGTGATCTTGCTGGCATTTGTGTCTAGGACAATGCATCACTCTTAGACTACAGAAGAATCTATTACACCAATTCCATCACCTAAAATATCAAAGTCACCATTCTGGCAAACTGGGAATACGAATGAAAGAGCAGCTAATCACAAAGGTTTAAGACAGGTTAGGTAAATGTCAAGGGTCAAGTGTGAGAGAAAAATATAAAAGTTCAACAAAAAATGTTAAGCAGAGACAGACTGATAGTTGGAGGTAGGATTTTGATATCTGAGGAATCATCTGGTATTGGCCATCTTTAAAGGTTTAAGAATCTGAAAAATTGATTCTTAAAAAATATTTGAAAATAGTTCAATCCCCATTCATAATCCCTAGAATATTGCGTGGATTGGCTTCTGATGCTCCTTCCCTCTTTTGACATCTTCCCCAGAAAGTTCTGACCTGACCATTCTTACTATGCTATCTATACCTCTTGTTGTTGTTCCAACTTGAAAATCACATCTGACTCGATAATATCAGAGAACTTCATAATGGAACACAGCTCCTATCTGCTTAGACCTCAGAAATCCCCCAAATAAAGAAGGTAGAACTTCAGCGTCTCCACTGTCTCTCGGCTTTAACACCTGAAGCTGCAGCCCACAACCACATGGTAGTAATTCAGAAGCTCAGAATTTTTGTTAACTGAGCAAGGACATAAATGCTAGGCCAACACGCAGCTGCACTAAAAGCTGTGCTTACCCACTGAGAGTAAATTGCTGTAATTCTCCAGCATCACGTCCATGTAAAGGATCCGCTGTGAGGGGTCCAGTTGTTCCCATTCCTCCTGAGTGAAGTCCACAGTCACATCGGTGAATGAAACCGATCCCTGAAATGGCATATTACTCAGATGGCTATTCATTCTGAAATGATCGGCATTTGGCAATGTAGGAAGGATATGTGAAAACTTACTCTTACCTTGTAAAATTTACACAGGACGCCAACTGACATCTTCACTGTTTTCTCATCTTTCCAAAAAATATGTTTATAAATAAAACATTTATGTAGATCCCCTAGATCTCTGGCACTTGCCATATACAACAGGTATCTGAGATTAATAAAATACTGTTTCTCCTCTGAAAATATGTAGAGGAAGATAAATAGGTAAACAAATACACAGTATTTAAAGTTATCTGTACAAAGATGATACTCATGTTGGGGGGTATCAAGTTTAAAGGGTTAATTAAACCTTTATTTTTGAGACAGAGAAAGACAGAACATGAATAGGGGAGGGGCAGAGAGAGAGGGAGACACAGAATCGGAAACAGGCTCCAGGCTCTGAGCTGTCAGCACAGAGCCCGACGCGGGGCTCAAACCCACAGACTGTGAGATCATGACCTGAGCCGAAGTTGGACACTTAACCGACTGAGCCACCCAGGGGCCCCTAAACCTTTAAATATTTAAAGGCAGCAGACGAACTTCCAATTACAAGGCAAAATGTCAGACGTAAGTAGAGATCTCTCTACCATATCCAAGCCATACCAATGGTGTAAAAGCAAAAATAAACAAATGGAACTATATCAAACCAAAAAGCACCTGCACAGAATGGAAACCACCAACAGAATGAAAAGGCACCCAACTAAATGGATAAAATATTTGCAAATCATCTGATAAAACCATCCAATTAATAAATGGGCAGAATATCTGAACATTTTTCCTAAGAAGACCTACATATGGCCAATGGATTCAAGAGCAGATGCTCAGCACATCACTAGAGAAATGCCAATCAAAATCACAATGAGATAATACCTCACATCTGTTAGAATGGCTGTTATCAACAAGAGATCACAAATGTTGGTGAGGATATGGAGAGAACGCTGGTGCACTGCTGGTGGAAAGGGAAACTGATACAGCCACTTAGGAACACACTATGAAGGTTCCTCAAAAGATAGAACTATCACATGATCCAACAATGTCACTTCTGGGTATTTATCCACAGAAAATAAAAACACTAAGTTGAAAAGATGTATGCACACCCACATTCACTACAGCATTATTTATAATAGCCAAGATAGGGAAACTTAAGCGTCCGATAATAGACAAAGAGTATGTGGCATATATACACAACGGAGTATTTCTTAGCCGTAAAAGAGAAAATCTGGCCACTTGTGACAACATGAATGGATTTTGAGGACATCATGCTAAGTGCAGTAGACAGATACTGTATCATCTCACCTCTATGTGGAATCTAAAATAAAACACAAAAACCAAAACAACCAAGTTCATGCATACAAAGAACAGATTGGTTGTCAGGGTGGGGAATGAGCTAAATGGGGTAAAAGGGATCAAAAGGTATAAACATCCAGTTTTAAAATAAATACAACATAAGGATGTAATGTACAGTGTGGTAATCACAATTAACAATACCATATTTCATATTTGAAAGCTGCTAAGAGAACAGATCTTAAAAGTTCTCATTCCAGTAAAAAAAAAAAAAAAAATTATATATGGTGATGGATGTTTACCAGACTTATTCTGATCATTTACCAATATATAGAAATATCAAATAACGTGGTACACATGAAACTAATAATGCTATATGTCATTCTATCTCCATAAAAAATAAAAATCAGGGGTGCCTGGGTGGCTCAGCCGGCTAAGCGTCTGACTTCCGCTCAGGTCATGATCTCACAGTTTGTGGTTCAAGCCCCATGTCAGGCTCTGTGCTGACAGCTCATAGCCTGGAACCTGCTTCTGATTCTGTGTCTCCCTCTCTCTGCCCCTCCCCGACTCATGCTCTCTCTCTGCCTCTCGAAAATAAAAATGTTAAAAAAAAATTAAAAATCAATAAAAAAGAATGTTCACAGTTAAATTTTACATAGGACCCCAGAGCCAGAAAAACAAATGCTCATCAATAGATGGATTTCTTACGGTATACTAAAATAATCGAGTCTTATAAAGCAATAAAAATGAACTAGTTCCAGCTACACAGTGAGGATTTCACAAGAGCTTCAAGAATCCTGGCTATTTTCTATTTCTTGGCCTGAATGACAACTACATGGATTTATTTATCTACACCCACTGGGCCAAATGACAGATGCAATAAGAACTTTTGTATGGCTGCCAGACCAACAGGGGGATAAACCTGTGGCACATTACTTGGACTCAAGTTCTAATAATTTAGAGATGACTCTACCATCAAATATGAAAATTTTCTGTATTTCTTCTCCTTATTTTCCATACTCCATACAAACAAAAAAGTCAAAAACTTGTTGATGAAACACAGTCATATACCATAGCATTAAAAGGGATGTCAAGCATGACCAACTTCAAAAACTTTTGCCCAAACAGTATATAGTTTCCATCTGGAAGGAATGTGGTATTCTGGCTAGAAAGCCTATGGTCATGAATAGAGGTAGAGCTAGCATAGTTGACATCTAAACAGACCATTTTTTTTTTTTTTTAATTTTTTTTTTCAACGTTTATTTATTTTTGAGACAGAGACAGACAGAGCATGAACGGGGGAGGGGCAGAGAGAGAGGGAGACACAGAATCGGAAACTGGCTCCAGGCTCTGAGCCATCAGCCCAGAGCCCGACGCGGGGCTCGAACTCACGGACCGCGAGATCGTGACCTGGCTGAAGTCGGACGCTTAACCGACTGCGCCACCCAGGCGCCCCAAAAACAGACCATTTTTTAATACCCCTTCCTCAACTCTTCAAACTATTAGATCCTCCTTGACTTACGATGGTTACATACTGATTAACCCATTGTAATATGAAAATATAAGTCAAAAATGCATTTTTTTAACGTTTACCTTGATTAGACGTGGTTATTCATTACCTCCTGAAAACTGATAAACTAACCACTAGCCCAGCATTCAACACCAAATTTCTTTTCCATCCCTCTTTCCCATGGCTTTCCTAAGCAAAGGTCTTCCCAGTAAGGTCACATCTTACATCACAGTTAGACATGATCCTTCCTTATTGTGAGTTCCTGCTCAGTTTTAAACCCTGGAGTATTTTGTTTGTATCTCTTGCGGCAATCATTTTGCTTTCTTTTGTTAAAGGTGTCTTATTCCTTCCACTCTCCCCTCTAGGTGTTAGATTTTTTAGCATTTTCCGAAACAACTCTCCTCAGACCAGAGAAGAGCATTAACCCCAAGAAGAACAAATACAATCACATTATGTACATCATCACAAAACTGTTAAAAATCCCAAAAGAAAAAGGAGGCACCGCCTAATAGGGCACATAAAACTGCTAGCTGATTTTTCAACAGAAACAATGTAAGCCACTAAACAACAGAGTATCTTCAAAGTACTGAAAATGCTAGAATATGAGTTGGCAAACTTTCTACAACGGGCCAAGTAGTAAATATTTTAGATTCCGCAGGCCACATGTAGTCTCAACTACAACCAATCAAGTCTGCCACTGCACCGTGAAAGCAGGCACAGGAAATACGCAAACAAATAGGCATGGCTATGTTCCAAAAAAGCCTGATTCCCGGACAATGAAATGTGAAATTCATATAATTCTCACATCGTGAAATACTATTCTTTTGATTTTTTTCATAGCCATTAAAAAAATGTAAAAACCACTCTTAGCTATGAGCCATATAAAAGGAAGGCAGAATGCCATCTGGCTCATAGACATAGTTTAGCAGCCTGATCTAAAATGACAACTACTGGGGGCGCCTGGGTGGCGCAGTCGGTTAAGCGTCCGACTTCAGCCAGGTCACGATCTCGCGGTCCGTGAGTTCGAGCCCCGCGTCGGGCTCTGGGCTGATGGCTCAGAGCCTGGAGCCTGTTTCCGATTCTGTGTCTCCCTCTCTCTCTGCCCCTCGCCCGTTCATGCTCTGTCTCTCTCTGTCCCAAAAATAAATAAACGTTGGAAAAAAAAAATTTAGTAAAATGACAACTACTGCATAGTAAATGTCACATAAGTGCTAGCTTTTTTTACTGCTGTAAAACGATGTGAATATAAAGAAGACAAACATAGCAAGAATCAGTTGGATGTAAAACATCAGGGAGCAAAGAAGTCAGCAAAATAAGTTATTAAAAAACGTATATATGGGATGTGGGAAGGAGGTATTAAATAATTAGCTGAAACTAATTTTTGGATGCCAGAAACCTGGGAGTTGTGACACAGAGAAAGTATTGTGTTTGGAAGGAAAATATAAATCGTGATTAGCTTTTTAAGTTTTGTTTAAAATATAAGCTAAAAAAGAGTAAGTTAAACCTTTAAAAGAAATATAAAAATATATTTTGACACACCAGTAGAGGAAGAAAAATGCTCAAAGTGACAAGGAGAAGAAAACCAGTAATAAAATAAAATAGAATAAACATTTAATAAAAGGTCAAGACAAGTCTTTAAAAAAAAAAAAGACTTCGGACAAGTCTTCAAAAAAAAAAAAAAGATGCAAACTTAAATAACAAAGCCTTAAAATAAAAGGTACAGAAAAGCTAGCACAGGAACATTAATAATTCATTAAAAAAATTAGTGAAAAGAGAATTCCAAGAATATGTATAAATCATGACCCCAAATTCTGTCAATTCTATTTAATGTGTAAAAAATATGAAAAGAAGTGGACAGACCTGCACAAAACTTACATTATTGGCCACCTCTAAAGTGAGGAAACAATCTTTAATGGTCAACAGGATTTTAGCATTGAATAAGGTGACTTAATGCCAGGAATGGGAGCCTGCTAAGGGAGGTCAGAACCATGATGGTGAGAAAGCGTAAGAGACAGAATTCATGTGTGAATTGTGTAACATAACAACCTTCAATACACATAGTGTATGGAAGCAAATAAGCCAAGATGTTCAGTGTTGACTTGGATACTGTAATAGGTTGACAATTATTAGGCTGGACCATACTGAAATTGCTGACA